ATAGTGAAGCTTGGAATATCAAGTAAAAGACAATATCCCACCAGAAACTACTTGTCATCAACCACCAATCAGGCAGAAATGTTATTCAGATAAGCTGTCTTATTCATGACAACAAAAAAGATGTAGATGGGCTGAATCATAAATTGAACTGGTTGGGAAGATGATAGCCACCCATGCGTGCTGTGCTGTGATTCTGCCATCAGGGCTCTTGCTAAGATATGCTTTGTCAAAATAGTACTCATTATAGATGAGGAATTTATGAAAAACCTACAGCACAATGAAATCCTAATGTGCCATGGCAAGCCTAAACAAATACGAGGACCAACTTCCCCTTCACCAATCAAGTGTTGAATACAGGTATATGCTACATGCAGACAGGAAAGAAAAAAAAAGATTACAGACTGCATTCCACACAGCTTTAAAAAAATCCTTGTCTGACATAGTCAGTGCTGAGCTGATCAGAATGAAACAACGAGGCACCCCTGTTGCCTCATTATTCATTCAGAATGTGATACGTGGATCATTAAGCGAGGCACTAATTTGTTCCTAAACTGCACTCATTCATCATTAGTTGGCAGCATGAGGTTGATCAAGTCAGTTGTCAAAGTTTGAGACTCTTATGATTTGTACACTTTCTGCATGTCTTATAAAATCTTCTAAAGTCACTTCAGCTGTTTGATCGCTGTTGTGTTGCATATGTATTTTGCAATATTCTTAAAGGTTTGCTGTGGCTGCTGCAGAATTCACCATTTTTAGTGCAGAGTGTTTGCATATTGCTCAGAGGATTTCAGAATCAACTGTAGCAAGAGAGGGGAGGAAATCCTGTAAGGTTTTCCTCAATCACTCTTGGAATAAACAAAGAAGCAGATAGAGGTTTTAGTACTTACCTCTGGCAAATCCATTTGTTTTAACTAGGTAACACAGATATTTGTTTCTAATATTCATTCTGACAGTTGATTAACAAGACTATAATTAGGTGGAGAAATGTGAAGATGAGTAAGGACTGAATTCTAAAACTATCACATGGAATAACTTATACCCTCAACTATTTTATAATAAGGGTGGGGAATTCCATATTTGTTTGGGGTTTTTTTAAAAAAAAATTATTGTATTAAAGTATATATTCGAATACATATACAGAAGAGTTCAAGAACAACAGTCAAATTAATAGAAACATTTATAAGTAGATAATATAATTAGTTATTAACAATAGTAAGACAAAGGAGTAAAAATATATGTAGACTAAGAGATCTACTATTGCAGCATTAATAGCTTCTAGAATAGATTCAAGTTCCTTTTTAGATGCTAGGCATTCTATAACTGGGAACCACACTTTCACAAATTTCGATGTTTAAGGTTCCGTTTTTCCTTGCATTATAGTTGATTGTTGACTAAAAAAACAAAAACAAAAACACCACGCTGCTCGTAGAAAATGAACATACCAGGAAAAGACCAGTCTAAAGCTCTTCTCTCTGATAGACTACCTTTCTACAGGGCAGATCATATGATGTAAGGGAGCATTCAAACACGCAGCTCTCCCATCTGCTGTCTGAGAGCCCTCTTCAAAGAGTCCAAGATAGGCTGTATCATCAGACTTCCTCTCAACAGCAAAGTCATCCTTCCATTAATATGTTGTGAGCCCTTCTTGAATAATTTCAGCTCATAACTAGATCCCAACACTTCACCCCAGAATTGGACAACAGCTTTTGATAGTTCAAGTTGGGTTTCCAAACCAAATTAAGAAAAGCCTTTTAAGAAAGTATGTAAAAAGAGATTTAGGTTGGTTCTTCTATAAAATTTATTATACCGTACTCTTATGAAAAAATGACAGCTTATTATAAAGCAGGTACAAACAGAAAGAAGCCAAAAAACAAAAACAAAATAGAGAAATACTTATCTGGATCCTAACCTTTACCACTCAGCTCAGGTGGTAGCACCAAGCAGGGCTCAAGACATCAATGTTCCAGAAGGTTTCAGAGAGTCTCAGATGACACAGGGTGGACCTCCCTAGGCAATCAAGGTTCCCCATGCCTTTTATGTCCTTGTTAGGAACAATATGGCTCAGAGAAGATGGGCATTGTTAGGGTTGCCAGCTTTGGGTTGGGAAGTTCCTGGAGATTTAGGGATAGAGACTGGGGAGGGTAGAGTTTGGAGAGAGAAGGGACTGCAGCAGGGTACAGTGCTATAGAGGCCACCCTCTAAAGTAGCCATTTTCTCCAGGGAAACTGATCATTATAGTATGGAGTTGTAATTCTGGGAGATCTCCGGGCCCCACCTGGAGGCTGGCAACCCTAGGTGGCCCAGCCTTTTTGAAGCGTAAGCCATCCCACCCTTGGTAAAAGATCACAATCCTATGCCTCCAGGTTGGTGCGACAATCCAGGATGAATGAATAACAAAAAGGCATCATACGCCACAGCAAATAAGGCCACCTCTGCTTCGCAACAATCATTCACATTTAATGAGATTCTCAAAAGGACAGGCAAGCTAGACATTCTACAGATGGGCAGCCGTGTTGGTCTGAAGCAATAGAGCAGAGTTTGAGTCCAGTGGCACCTTTAAAACCAAAAATATTTTATTCAAGGTATGAGTTTTCATCTGCATGCATACTTCCTCAGGTACACCGAAATGGAAGTTAACAGTTCATATACAGATGCCTCTACATAGGTGAACAGCAAATTAGCATAAAACTCAAAGCTGTATGCTAATTTGCTATTCACCCATGTGGAGGCATCTGTCTCTATATATGAACTGTTAACTTCCATTTCAATACAATTACAATACAACTTCAAGCTGTGTACTAATTTGTTGTTCACCTGTGTAGAGGCATCTTTCTATATATATGAACTGTTAACTTCCATTTCAATGTATCTGAGGAAGCGTACATGCACACGAAAGCTCATACCTTGAATAAAACTCTGTTCGTCTTAAAGGTGCCACTGGACTCTAACTTTGCTCTAGATATTCTACACAAATTTAATCCCTGTCTGTGACAGGGATAGGGTTGCCAACCTCCAAGTGGGCCTGAATTTCTCTTGGAATTACAACTGACATCTAGACTGAAGCAATCCATTCCCTTGGAGAAAATGGCAGCCTCAGACGGTGGTTTCTATGGCATCAAATTGCTGCTGAGCTCTCTCCCAGGCACCACCCTCAAATGTCCAGGCATTTCTCAAGTCAGAGTTGGCAACCCTAGACAGACAGTGTAGTGAAACGTTACAGAGAATAATTTGTGTTTAATATGGATAGTGGTAAGGTAAAGGTTCCCTTGCTCGAAAGCCAGTCGAATCCAACTCTAGGGGTGCGGTGCTCATCTCCGTTTCAAAGCCGAAGAGCCAGTGCTGTCCAAAGACGTTTCCGTGGTCATGTGGCCGGCATGACTAAACACCGAGGCGCACGGAACGCTGTTACCTTCCCACCAAAGTGGTACCTATTTATCTACTTGCAATTTCTTGCTTTCGAACTGCTAGGTTGGCAGGCGCTGGAACTAGAGACGGGAGCTCACTCCGTCATGCGGCATACTCGGGTCTCGAACTGCTGAACTGCCGACCTTCCACAGCCTGCAGTTCAGCATCTTAACCACTTGAGCCACCGCAACTCCTTATGGATAGTGGTTGCAACCTGCTAAGGGGCAGAATAATCTCCAAGTGCTGTTAGAGGGGACTGATGGTCTACTCATCACCTCAAGGTATGATGTTGATGAAAATGTTCATAATACTAGCAGTTAGACTTATAGCCATAACAAAAACTCAAAGGAGGGGAAATATAGTGAAATGTGATCCTAGGCCCAAGGGAGAGGGGAGGAGCCGATAGTCCTAATACAACAGAAGGAAACAGAAAGACCGCATGGGAAGGAGAACCCAGAGGAGAAAGCTGTTCTGTTTTATGTTTATGAATAAACAGATATTGTCTAAGTGTCACAGAGTCTCTGACAGACAGCATTACATAAAAACAGTATGACTGACAGTTTGCAAATTTCACTTATTCCCCCCAATAGTGTTTTAGTAAAATGGTGTCAGCTGCTGTGCAGCCTTCCTGAGAGCTCTCTCTCACTATCTTAAATGCTTGTTCTTAAAGTTTTTAAAAGTTTCTTAAAGTTTTTTTTAAGTTTCAAGTGGGTGATGGGCAGCCAGTCCATCTTTCACCTACATTACTTTGATATTGTTTTTTACAATTCATTTGTTTTCCTTATGCTGCTAATTGCCAGTTTGTTAGCTTTTTACCTACTCCCAACACAGCTGTGAATAAAACTTATCAAAAATAAGTAATCATTAGGATTGCCAGCACCAAGATGGCAAATACCTGGAGATTTTGGGGGTGGATCTTCAGTGGTGTATAATTAGGGCTGCCAAGCCACGGCGGGGGATCTGCACGTCTTCACAGGATCCCTGCCACGGGGGACAGCGATACGCGTTGCACCGCCGCTGTTTGGAGTCCCGTTGCCAGAGCGACGCGTAGCGTCACATCCTGGTGATGGCGGTGCAACGCGTATTGCTGTCCCCCGCAGCAGGGATCCTGTGAAGACGCACGGATCCCCCACCGCGGCTTGGCAGCCCTAATAATGCCTCAGGGTCCACCTTCCAAAGTAGCCTCTCACAGATTTTCGTCTTAGCTCAGGAAGGATGGCTCCAGAGCAAACTAACTGATGCACCAGCCAAATTGCTCGCTCACAAGTTTAATGCCAGTAGCTCACAAAGAAGAATTTTTGCTCACAAGACTCCACAGCTTAGAGGGAACATTAAGGACCTCTTTAGCTACCACTTAGATGTTGGAAACCCTAATAACCATATCAAGCAACCTCAGGATTGTCATAGCATGCGTGACTGAACATAATTATCCTGATACTGGAACCTGGAGGATTGTACCAAGTCTCTGATTATTTACATGCGTCTCACCAAAAAGCCAGAAACAGCTGAGACTACAGTTGCACAGAAGAATGCACCATCATCCTAAAAGGAAAAACAACAACTATATTTGGGGATGCATAAATTCAGCAAGTTACCTGAATTGTCAGGTAGAGAGGAGGTGCTGTTGTTCGCAGTATCCAAAACCACAGCAAGTCCAGCTGAATTAGAAGGCAGAAGATTGGTATTCAGATCCACACGAGTGAGACTTTCATCTTCTCTTCCAAGGCTCCTTGGAATCCCACAAACATTTTCATTTTCAGTCTCAACCTTTTTCTGATCCTTTTCCCTTGGATTCTGAACAATATGAACAATGCTTTGCTGGGCCAAATCACAGCTCTGAAAAACAAGGATAAAACCTCTATAAACGATAAATTTGGGTATAAAAGGAAAGCTTTTGTATCTATCAAATCATTCCCCGACTTAAATTGGATTTAATTAAGAGTAACAACTGTAAATAGCTTAAATTAGTATTACTTATAGTAGCTTTAGGAACACAATGCTTAGACATTTCTGAAAATTGACAAGAAAATATTAGAGCAGAGTCAACAGTGACTCTGAATCATGTTTTGCAAAATGGGTAATATTACTGATACATTATAAATCAAGATGGCCAAATTTTTTAAAGGTAGAAAATAGGCTTGCCAAGCCCGTTCCCCACCGCCGGCAGATCGGGCCCCGGGGGGAACTCCACACTGACGTACACGTCAGCTCGACGTGCACGTCACCCGTCACTCTATGGTTTTCCCTCAGATGGTTGTGGCCCCGCCCCCAGCGTGCCCGGTGTGGTCGCGTCACTTCCGGGTGACGTGGATGCAGTGCGCATGCGCACTCCAGCCACCAGCCGGGAGTCCGCCGCTGCGGCGAAAATCACATTTGGCAACCCTAGTAGAAAATAAGCACATTTTCTGTGGTAAACTATTTCACAACAATCATTGGAACAATGAATTGAATGCTGATAGGATTTATTTCATAGAATTAGGCCACATTTATTTACCACCATAGGATACATTTCCCTTTGGTGGATTTTACTGAATAACTGGGTGTAATTTCCTCAAAGTTTTTAAGACTGCACATTCACACATCAAAAACAACTAACCTTCCAGCAAACACTTTTCCTAGCAGTATGACAACATATTTGGCTAAAGCAGATTAAATTCAGCAGTCAAACAGGATCATCCTGAGTTACACCTGATGTGAAGCCCGGAGTTCTGCCAGAATTACAATTATCTGGGCAACTGATCTCCATATTACAGAAATCTGTTGCCCAAATAAAGTGGCAACTTTGGAGAGCAGACTCTATGGCATCCCATCCCTACTGAGCTCCCTCTCCTCTTCAAACACCACCTTCCCCAGGCTTTGCCCTCAGATCTCCATGCATTTCCCAACCTGGAGTTGGCAACTCTACACCTATCTAAGTGCATTGACTTCTATGGCATTAGAAAGATTTAACTTTGCTTTGGATAGTGCTAAATGTCTTGCACGTCAACTAAAGGCATGTTTCGGGAAAAGGTTTCTCATTCCCCAGTTCGAGGCATGGGATTTTCCGGTTTTGCGGGCTCCTGCCCGCCACCTGGCCAGCAAGGGGAAATCCCCACCCCCAGCAGCAATGTCAGGCGACGTCACGTGCCTATGTCACCTAGAAGTGTTTTGGGGGCAAATCTCTATGGGTTTGAGGCTGATTTTACCATAGAGTTTTGCCCAAAAAACAGAGCATTGCTCCCCAATGGGCCTATGTCACTTCCGGGTAACATAGGCCCATTGTGGTGCTCCTCCTTCCTCCCAGAAAGTCCCTCCTCCTCCCCTGCCGGTGTGTTGTTCTGACCTGGCAACCCATGATCCCCATGAGATAAATCTTCAGATTAGTGAGCAAAAGTCAAACTATGCAATGACAGCACTCCCTCTTCTGTCAATTCAAATTTCAAAAATGAGGAAGTTTAGAACACACTTGTAAAAATATAGTGAAATCAGGACATGGGGTAACTTGTAATAGATGTTATGGAAAGGGAGGTGAGAATCTAACGCAAAGTTAATTTTGGTGGACTTCCCAATGCTTCCTGTAATATTTAATTTTGCCTTTTTGTCTCATGACTGATGGCATCTATGAGGAACTAACTTCCAGGTTCAAAAAGCTTTTTGGAGGTACAGCTAGAGAAACAATAGATAGGAAAACTGTAAATTTGATTCTGGTGTGCTGTACACCCCAAAACTATGGCCTATCACAAAAATTATCAAAACTGTGTATTAAAACTATGACTTATCACATGCTGGCTCCAATTCAGAGAACTTTATTGGCAAAGTACTCTGTTGTATACTTGAGGCATGATGGCCAATTTCCTTTCTGATAACAACCCCTCATGCCCCCTGTGTTGCTGCTCTGGGGAGTCTCCTTGCTTGGGGGGAGGGCTTTTCTGGAAGAAGAGAGACTGCTGTCAGAATGTACAAGTTTCTAATCTCCATATAACACGGAACACTGCATGCAGAATTCCAGGAATTCTTTCTAAACTTGTATTAAAGGAATAATCAGTATTAAAGGAATAATCAGTGCTATACTGATAGACCTCTCCATTTCAAAACTATGGACCTTCAGGTGAACTATGGCCACAGGTGAAGACAAAGGCAGACAAGAATAGTGTGAGTGGAGTCTTGTGAGACATAGCTGGTAAAAGACGGAATCTTGAAGGAAGCTGGGAAGTTGGGTGGAGCCAGGACAGAATTAAGCAGGTCATGGTCAGAACTTGGATGGTGGTGGGAAGAATCTGGTGGCAGAGTTGCTAGCCTTTCAAACTGTCATACAATGTGACTAACTGAACCAATTGGGCTAATATTGGCTGATCGATAGTGTTGCCAGCTTCTAGGTGGAGCCTGGACATCTCCTGCTACTAAAACTGCTCTCCAGACACCGGAGATCAGTTCCCCTGGAGAAAATGGCTGCTTCAGAGGGTGGACTCTATGGCATTGTACCCTGCTGAGGTCCTTCTCCCCCCAAACCCTGCCCTCCCCAGACTCCACTCCAAAAATCTCCAAGTATTTCCCAGCCCTGAACTGGCAATCCTACTGATCGACAATCCTTTATTAATTCATTCTTTGATCCATAAACTTTCACAGAGCAGTATGCAACAATGGTAAAAACAATAAAAAGTAGTAGAATTGAGATTTTTTCTTGATTATTGTGTACAGTCAACAGCAAACAACTCACATCAAGGGAAAATAAGAACAAATGAACACAGATGGAAATATGAAGAAATCAATAAAAACTGTATAACATCTGGCCTAGCTTTTCTTCTCTGCCCAGTACTGCATACAGAAAAATGAAAAGAAATGAGTGTGCTTGATGACTCACATGTAACAAATGAGAAATTTATAAAGCTAACAATAAACTAAATCTCAACATATGAAATGGGATTTATGTAAAACTGCAGACAAGATTGGGTTGGATACAAAGGCCATTTTCTACCAAAGGAAGGAACTTTCAGCACTGAAACAGATTTGTTTTTGCTTCCTCCCTACCACTGTAGACAATGGAGCACCCCAAAATACTCTGTCAGGAGGGCAGGGAATCCTCAAGAACAGTGTGTGATGCAAATTGGGGGGGGGGATCAGCCAAAACTGCCCCCCCTTCCTGTTCATGGAAAGTAACCTCTGGATCAAAACTATTCACTTTACTGGGAAATCCATTTTTCCAGGGCCAGGATACAGAAACACTAAAGGTGAGTGAAGGACAGAGATTTCATTGTATCTTAAAAACTATGGTGTACAGAAAGAAAATCAATTGGTGTTTTTCACTGCTATTCTACCTAAGCCTAATTATTAAAAACATGAGAGATAAGAAATGAAAAAGCATTCTGTGTTTGTGTTAATCCAACCCCCCCCCCAACTTGAGAAAGGATAGATAGTATTATTAGGAAAGGAAAGATAGTATATTATTCAGCTCAAAGCAGGTGATTACACATAATAGAACTATTTATATATCCAGTTACTATACAGCAATTGGACATTATTGCTTGAGAACACCTTGAGGGAAAGAACAAGTCGTTCAATAACTGAAATAATGAAGCAAACGGAACACCTTATCTGATATCAGAATCCATTAGTATAAAATCTCTGATCCTGTGCAAAGGTTCAAATTAAGTCAATGGCTTTTTATAGGTTTCCTGGGTTACTTTACAATGTTTTAATGGAAGACTTGGGGCTAATTACACAAATTATAGAGAGGCCCTTCAGAATTAGAATCCTAGCACTCACTGAATTCAGTCTACTTTTACAGTACTTTGCAGAACATCCCTAGCTAGTCCGAATTCTCTTTCAACAAATTACTACTTTACATTTTTGTCATAAAAGAAACAGCAATATATTACAGCATTTGCACACTATGCAATTCAACATATATCCAGGGACCAACATGACAATGGCCAATTTATTGTTAAGACTGCCACATTCCCTAAGTGAAATGTATAGTAAAGGCAAAGAATTGGAGCTTAACTGAGTATTATTAACAAAACAAAACTATGCTATAAAATTCTAAGAAATGTGTCAGCATATCTGCATGTGATTTGTCATTACACAATCTGTGTTTTGTATTTCCATTTATTCTTAAATGTTGGTTAGAAAACAATAAAAAGGAGGTTTTTAAAATATGCAGCACCCAGGAGTGGAAATGATTCATTACTTTTTTGAACTAAAATAGCTTTATTGTTATATAGCTTGTCATTAGAGTTCCTCAGAAGGAAAATTTCATCGCCAATGAAAGAAAACAAGCCTTTACAAAGTACGTAAGGCTCTCAGTAACAAAGAGGATGCTGTATGCAAATGAATTCCTCAAAACCAGGTATTGTCCCACTCTTTACAGAAAGAAGGTTTGCGTATTCCAAATACTCAAGGCTAACAGTGGAATCCTGTTGTTAAGTTACACTGCCTGGAGAGTCAAATGATACTAAGTCCCCTATGACAGATCATCTTGAAGATACACTGGCATTAGTGGCTGGGCTAGTGTCACATCATTGTAATACCCCAGTACCAGCCAAAAATAACTTGGACACCAGCCAAGCACCTTGAAAATCAAGATATCGGGTCATGCTATTTCCTTCGTTACATGTCATTGACATTAATTGTGAACACTTTGGACCATGTTGATTCTTTAGCATTTATGGATTATCGTTGTCGTATTCCAAATACTCAAGGCTAACAGTGGAATCCTGTTGTTAAGTTACACTGCCTGGAGAGTCAAATGATACTAAGTCCCCTATGACAGATCATCTTGAAGATACACTGGCATTAGTGGCTGGGCTAGTGTCACATCACTGTAATACCCCAGTACCAGCCAAAAACATGGACACCGG